TTACACATATCCAAGTCATTCCGTACAGACTAGAAAGTCAGGAGCTGGAAGACAGGCCTGTAGCCAAAGCTGTGGCTTAGTGAACTGCAGCCACAGGCCAAATCTAACCCACTGCCTGCCTTGTGCACAGCCCAGGAGTTAAGGATAGATCTTACATCTGCAAATTGTTGAGGGGAAATCAAGGAATGGTACTATTGCCTGACACGAAGCTAATAAAAAATTAAAATGCTAATATCCATCAATCAAGATTTGTTGGAGTGCAAATAGCTCGTTTGTTTACGTACTGTCTATGGCTGTTTTCATGCTACAATGGCAGACTTTTGGGTAACTGTAGAAAGACTATACAGTCACAAAGACTCAAATGTTGCCCATCAGGCTAGCATTTCAGTTTTGTGGGGCAACTTATCAATTCCTGGTCTAAAAGGTGTTAGACATGTTAAGTGAGGACATCTCACAGAAATTTCAGGCAAATCAAAAAGGCAAAGACTAACAAGAAATAACATTAAGATCAATGTCCCATAGTCAAGATTAAGTTACCTTGAAAAGTAGAGTAAAATGAAAAGAAAGAAAGAAAGAAAAAAAGAAAGAAAGAAAAGAAAAGAAGGAGGAGAGAGAGAATAAACTCTCTACACTTGATAAGAACAGACATAAACACATCTGCATTGCCCCCCACCACATCTTAAATACCTGACCCACTTCTCAGAGCTGGAGAGGTGTTCATAAAAAAGTTGTTGAATGAATAAAGAAGAGAGGATGAAGAAACATAAAGCAAGTAAAACAAGAATGGAACAGGGTAGGAGTACATGTGCTGCCAAAGCAAGCACAAGTGGTAGGACTGAGAGAGGGTATCCAGCAACAACCTCAAGTTGGTCTGCCCTGTGACGTACATCGTAAGTTCCAAAAGTTAGCGAAAAATCCCTACTTGGGAAGCCAATCTTTCAAATGCTATGTGTGCCCAAGAGATTAAGGAAAGTCTAAATAGCTAAGGCAACTCCCCTGATGTTTACTCTGCCCCACCTTTTCCACACTGTTCTTCAGTCCCAGATGCTCATTTACTTAGTGCAGAGACTCGGTCCAGATACAGAAGTCAGCAAGCAGAAGGAAATTGAATGTCAAGGTCATGAAATGAACAGCATCATTGTCACTGCTGATCTTTGTTAACTGGCTCTTCCTTCCAGAGCCACCAGCCCCCACTTTCTCATCATTCTCTCTCTCTCTCCCTCCCTCCCCCTTAAGTGACACCCACACATATCCTTCAGTGTTGGCAGAGATGCTCACTCAGATAACAACTGGAGCTCACACTGCGCATTTTCATCTTCATGTGTCATCATCGCCATGTAAAACCACAACTATAGGAAAACAAAGCTGTTTGCTGCTCTTCTGTTTCAACTGACATTTCCACTTAGCTCACAGTTTGTTCTTTGGAGACAAAAGGAGTTTCAATCTGTCACTGAGATATCTCTGCCCAACAAAGTCCAAGGAAAATCCAATATATCCTACCCTGAGATCAATGCATCTTTCTACCACTTCTTGTCCCCATGAATTTCCAGGATTCTAAACCCTTTCACATACTTTAAACAGGCAAGAGAACAGGAAGATGGCCCTTTCGGAGCACGTGTTTTGGCCCTTAACTCTGCCCCAAGAATAAGGTCAGCTTGGAAAAGCTGGTATAGGGGCTGGGGATTTAGCTCAGCGGCAAAAGCGCCTGCCTGGCAAGCGCAAGGTCGTGA